ATTTTACATTTCATATAAATTGTCATAATTAAAACGTCTCTATGCATCTTTAACGTAATGGTGATTTTTTTTCTTTTCTTTTTTCTTTTTCCTTCTGCTGTAGCTATTGCTGTTCGAGATAAACTTGAATCGCTTTGTAGGGAGTTACAACGTCAGAACAAAATGTTAATGGTATGATTCTCTTGGAATATTTTATTTATTTATTTTTGACGGGTTGCATATTACAGTTAATATTTGTTCTTCTGCCTTTGTTCTTAGTATGTTGATGTTTGAATAATGTTACGAGTTATGGATCGACCTTGATATTAGTATCCTATTATCCTTCCATTTTTGTGGTTTGGGCCGTTTATCAAGCTATTAAATATACCTTATACTAAATTTCTTAGAGTTGAAGGGGTTAGTAGTGGAGTAAGCTACTAAATGCAGAAGCATAGGGTTCCTTGCACTAGGTTAGATGCAACTATGTTTAATTTCTGAGACCGCCCATTGTTGTCTGAACATAATCTGTGCAAAACCAACTTGCATGACTAAGTGGTCTTTGTTCATCTTGGAGTTGTTTGTCGTACTTTCTTGAAGGTGCTGATTGTTCATGATTGCACAGGATGAATGTAAACGGGTATCAACAGAAGGGCAAAACTTAAGACTGGATTTATCAGCCCGTTTCCAAGATGCAATCAAGGTTTGATATCCCCATTTTGATTTTCGAGGTTATCTTTTGGATGGGTTACCTTCCATGCTGGATAGCCTAGCAATCTCTAGTTATGTAACTTCATTATTTCTTTCAAGTACCCTTGTCGGGCATTTATATCCAATGCATTTTCAGACATAGGCAGGGGCATATGACCTTTATGGAAAAACTTGGGGAAAAAACTGAACAATCCCTCTCTCCGTATATGTGTGCTAATTTGCGTACCCATGCCTGTGTGTCCATGTTTGCTTCTAATAGCAAGCAATTATATACGAGTTTTGGCATGTACGGTGTGGAAACGTTTCTTGAACTTTGGATAACTTTGCGGAGCTTATTATTCTTTTCTTCATTGCTTAGATATTCTACAATTAATTTCATATTTCTCCCTCTTAAAGGATGTCAGCAATAAGCTTGAAGAGCAGAAAGAAGATTGCCTATCTCAACTGAAGGAGAATGACATGTATGAAACTGGAAATCTTATCTAATTGTTATATTCTTTTCCTCTTTTGATATCTGTTGAATGAAAAAACCCAATGGGCTTCCTATCAAAAAAAAACCCAATGGGCTGGCTGGTTAGACAGTTTTAATCAAGAACCGGATGCCTGTCCTGTCGGATGCTATATTGTTTTAGTGCCTGGCCTTTTGTTATTCATAATTGTTTTCTGGGGAATTGTTCATATATAGGTTAAGAAATAAGTTGAAGGAACTTGCTGATCAATACACTCTCTCTGAACAACAATATCAGCAGAAGGTATGGTTTGACATCCCAGTACATCTAAGGTTTTTCATAATGAAATCCCAATCAATTCTATTATCAAGGACTGTCAGCTTTACTCTTATGTTTCGGACATTGTATGCACAGCTAAAGAAAAAAACACTAGAACTACAGCTTTCGGATCTGAAAATCAAGCAACACGAAGAGAAATTGATCCAGGAACAAGCACAGATGAAAGTATATGCTGAGCAAGTGTCGCAGTTATTGATAACTGAAAATAATTTGCGGATGCAGTTGACAGCTGATGGAGAAAAATTCCAACAGTTTCAGGTCAAATTATCTCCATCTCACTTTTCATCTTGGTTTCATTCACAGCCTTTTGCTTTTAGGCTGATGAATAGATATTTCACTATTTGAGTGCTTGTATCATTTGTCTCGGATGGCTGTACTTCGAACGTCAGTTAAGAAGTCTTTTGTCAACGGAAAAGTAGTGATATCTTACTTGAAGTGCTATCATTGACTGAATTGTAGTGATGCTTTTATAGACAATTAAAAAGTGATCTCTATGTTATTCAGACCTGAGAATGGTTGTCAGATTTAAGTACGTATTGGACATGGATATGCTCTATCTTTCTATTTTTGACGAGATAGCAATCCCATGTCCGTTTGCTAATATTTGTTGAACATGGATACTATAGGTAAAATGAAGAATCGGAGTGATATAGAGTGATACATCTTTCATGTTTGACATGTTTTCCTTTCGATATGCTTGGACCTTATCATTGAATGCACTTCACTCTTCCAACTTCCTCTTTGTATTGACTGCCGAGAATCCCAGTCTGTGATGTGGCAACATTGAAGTCTGATTTGCGTTTCCATGTCCTATTGATGTGCCATTGATATTTAAATTTATCCCATCTTCATCTTCATGATGTTTGAATTTATATTTAATTTTCAGGATGCATTGGTGAAGAGCAATGAGGTGTTTGAAACATTTAAGCAAGAGATTGAGAAGGTATACGTACCTTTTATCCTTGAGAGATGCATTTTCCTTGAAGCTCTACCTTTAGACTTTTTCTATTGATCCATCTACGATTGCCATTTGAGGTTGCCTTTTGTTACTTGGACTCGTGTGTGTGTGTTGGATGCGGGTGTGTGTCTTATACGGGTATTTTTGGAGGGTCATTATCCTTCTACCCATGTTGGATAGGTGTCAAATATGGGCATTTCAAGGAAAGCCAAGAGTTGGAGCAACATAATGGTTGCCTATGCTGCTTCGACTTTTCATTTTTCTTTAAATTTTGTGTTCGACACATCAGATGCATGTCTAAACATTGGTATAGGGATATTAGGATCCTCCAAGTACATGGAGAAACTTAGACAAAAAAGTTACACACGTGTGAGCCAACGTTGGACACATTCGAGTCTGATTAACGTAGGCAATTGCATATTATGTTATGATTTTGAAGTTATCGACTTCCCCCCTATATGTTCAAATTTAGATGACAAAATCAATCAAGGAACTCAAGAAAGAAAATTTGTTCTTGAAGAGCAAATGTGACAAATCAGATGCTACTCTCATAGAACTTGTGGAAGAGGTAAATGGTTTTGAAATGTGTCATTTTCTGAGCACCAGAATTAGCATCTATCTCGAAAAGGCTATCGAGCTCTTACTCATATCTTTGCTCGAGCAGCGTGAGCGATTGAGGAAACAACTGGAGAAGACGAAGAATCAGAAAGAAAAGCTTGAATCGTTGTGCCGATCTCTTCAAGCCGAGAGGAAGCAAAGCTCCAGCTCGACCAACGGCTCAAACTCAGTGGCAGATCAAATGTAAACATATATGTATGGTAAAAAGAAATGAATGCAATATGTGAAGTATGATCCAAAGGCTACTGCATCTTTTGAAGTAATTTCTGAATGTATGCTCATTTTGGTATATTATTTGGTGTAACAGTATGCATCATTATTGTATTTGTGAAGAACTACCTCTTTGGCTGCTGGATTTCCTTGTAGGGATATATAGTTTCCTACTACTTTTTAGTTATGTTACTCTTACCCTTAAATTTACACATGACAATAAAAAAACACCGTATAACATAATTTCACGTGACACATTCTTAAGGTGTCACAGGGATTTTTTATAACCTGAAAATAAATTGGAGTACATGTATTATAACTAAAAATATAAAAGATTGAATTGATTAAAAAAATAGGGTAAATTATGTGTTTAATACCTAAATTATTAGTTTTGGTTCGTTTTAGTACTTAAACTTTAATTTTTTTTAAAACCATGCCTAATGTTTAATTTTTGTTTCATTTTAGTACTTCTTCGTTAAAAACTTAAAATGTGATTTGCACGTGGTATCTTTTTTATGGGTCAATTGTGTCATTCATCACTCAACTATCTTCTCACTCTTATTTTGGTCATTAAAGTTTATTTTTTTTAATTTAATTACTTAACTTTCAATTTACTCCTAATTTAATCACTATAATTTTCAACTTTTTAATTATATATTAATAAAATGATAATAAAAATGTCATGTCAAAATCAGAGTGGTTAAAATAGGAGCAATTTGAAAGTTGAGTGGTTTAACTGAAAATTTTAAAATTTTAGTACCCAAATAGGAACAATTTGATAGTTGAGTAGTTAGATTGAAAATTTTTAAACTTTAGTACCAAAATAGGAGTTAGAAGATAGTTGAGTGATGAATTATGTAATTTACCCATAAAAATGCATCGCGACAGTGTAATAAAATGAAACAAAAACTAAATGTTAGATATGATTTAAAAAAAATTAAAGTTTAAGTAATAAAACAGACTACGAATGTTAATTTAGATATTAAAAGCATAATTTACCCAAAAAATTATCATGTATCAAAATGATAATAATATGCCATATTTGAGAGTTTAGACTACCATATCATTGGACACTTACCCTGTCCTACATGTGAGAATAGATCAGAATGCATCTTTCTGTGTGAACTAAAGCAAGCAACTACCTAACCTAACCTAAACGAAGAATAGAAGGAAGAAACAACGACAATGAATATCAGTTTTCTTATTCCTTTTTGAGGAAATTGATGATTTTTATGTAAATATGATATGTTTATAGGTGTGAAAATATAATACAGAAAAAAATTCATTTCATCAAGTTTTTATTATTAGGAGTTAATAGGATGATATAACTATTAAAACATAATTTTGAAAAAATCACTGTTTAATAATTAAACACGATATTACAAATATATATAAATTATTTATTATTTTATTTATAAATTATAATTATTAATCGAATAAGTTTTTATATAAAATATTTTGTTTGGAGTGTGAATATAATTTGAGGACATGTGAAAGTGTCAGCGTGGGACATCTCCACATGAAACACGCGCATTAATTTCTTTTAAATTATTTTCTAAAAAAATATATTTAGTTTGTTTTTTCAATTTAATTTATTACCATTTGCAAATAGTAATTCATAAATTCGTCACGTCAACCATGGCAGCCACACGAAAAGGTTGACCAACTCTTCGATCCCACAAAGGCGTGTGCTCAAAACGTTACCGTTTTAACTTTCCAGAAATTATTTTATTTATTTCTTTCTTTGTTCGTTTCCCCTCCTCGTTGTTATCGTAGTTGTTATTGCCAGCTGAAAAAAGGTACGGTTTGTTCTTCTTCTGAGGTTTATCTGTGATAGATTTTACTTAATTTCATCGCTGTTAATGCATTTTTTTAGTTTCCTTTTGGTTTTTATCGCTTTATCTTTTCGAGTTCTTAACGAGTTGTATAGATTTTTGGTTTTCTTAGCTTTCATGGATTGTTCTTGTTATTTTTAATGTTTTCTACTTTTTTTGGGGGGGGGTTAAGCTAAATTTAATTATTTAGGGTTCATAATGAAATTATAAAGGTCTAACTATTGTTTGTGAAGGATCCGAAGAGTAATCAAGAATTTTTATTTTTTTAGTAATTTTTTTAGGTCTAATGAAATATTATTTTCAAAGTAAATCCAGATTTTTGTTTGTTTGTTAAAATCTGTGGTTTTCTTATTGTCTCTTACTCTCATTTTAATTATATATATTTTTATTAAAACATTTCAGAATATTTCAGTTCTTTGGTCTCCATGGTAATTATTTTGTTAAATTTCAAGTACTTGAAAGAGTAATGTACAATCTGCTGCTTTAAAACTTTAGCCTTATTCCTAACTGATGTGACTGAAATAAACATGTTTGGTTTTGATCTAAGATCTACGTAGTTTATTATTATTATTATTATTATTATTATTAATTTTCAAGATTTGATACTTGTTCATGTGTGATTTTAGTAAATTCCATGTTTTGGATAACGGTTGAGGTTATAATTTTGGTAATGTTTTCCATAATCTGCTGTTTAAAAGCTTCAGAGTTCAGCCTTTATTCTCGACTGCTTAAACCTTGGTTAAACATATTTGATTGTTCTTTAAGATCGACTTATATCGATTTGTTGAGAAATTTTCAAGCTTTGATATTCATTGACGAATGATTTGGGAAATACCATGTTTGACTTGGTATTATTTTCCATAGCTTGCTTTAAAATTTTCTCCCATCATTCTTGACCGACTGGGCTCAATAAAACAGGTTTTATTTTGGTTTAAGATCGGCTTGTGCCAATTCATGGTGTAATTTTCTAGCTCTAATATTTCATTCACAAGTTGTTTTGTAAATTCCATGTGTTTGTCAGAGCCAAAGTTGGGATTTTCATAATGTTTTCTAGTCTGCTGTTTAAAAGCTTCTATGTTTCCTTTTTTTGTTTGGAGTGGTTTACTTTGATCTGATCAATATGTTAGATTTTATTCTGTGATCAACTGATATCATTTCTTCACATGGGACTGTTTAGATACACGGCTCGTGTTTTTTGATCTATAGTTTCTGTGGGATTGATAACATGAACTGTTGATTTCTATATGGTTTTAACTTGTTCTATATGCGAGCCATATATTACTTGTTCTATATGATTTCAGTTGATCTTGATTGTTAACTTGTTCTATATGCGAGCCATATATTACTCGGCACTTTTAGGATTTTATTTCAACTGTTTAATGGTTTTGTTCAGATTACCCTCGAAATGGATTTTCTCTTCAGAGGCCTAAATGAGGATTCTTCATCATCCCAAATGGACATTCTCAGATGTCCATTTTTGAGAAACATTAACGAACCAACTAACTTTTCCTTCTCGTCTGCCATGCCCTTCGCCATGCCGGTATGATTTTGTGTCTGTCATGAGCTTTATGCTAGTTGGGTCTTGTGTTTTACTCGAGTTCTCATTAGGTTTTTATTTCTTGGCCTAAGGTTCGAGGAGCTAAAGGTCTAATATTTGAAGATGGACCCAATTTCGACATGGCATTCAGGCTTTTCCATGGACGTGATGGAGTCGTTCCGCTATCTGAACGATCCTCCTTGCGTATTGAGAAAGCAGATATTGAAACAACCCAACCGATGTTCAATCCTTTGGCTGCAAAGGCAGCCACCATTAGTCTCTCATCCTTCGGACCAGGAGGGCCTTTCAGTTTTGATGCATTTTCTAATAAGTGGAACAATCAGAAAGGAAAATCAAAATCATCCAAGAAAGAGTCTTCTTCACAGGTAATCGAACATCTGATAATGGACTATGGATCTGTGAATTTAAAAGTTAGAATAATCAACAAATTTCTTGAAGATTTTGGGTTATTGTTTTGACGTCATTCCAATCTAATTTTCAGGGAGGAAATTCGAATCATGAAGCATTGGGCAATGAATGGCTGCAAAACGGGAACTGTCCGATCGCAAAGTCGTTTAGGGCAGTTAGCGGTGTTTTGCCACTAGTTGCGAAGGTTCTTAAGCCACCTCCAGGGATGAAATACAGGTGCCCACCTGCAATTGTTGCTGCTCGAGCAGCATTAGCACAAACCACATTCGCCAAGAATCTCCGCCCGCAATCCTTGCCGACAAAAGTACTGGTGATCGGGATGTTAGGCATGGCAGCAAATGTTCCGTTAGGTATATGGCGGGAACACACTGAAAAATTCTCACCGTCTTGGTTTGTTGCTATCCATGCAGCCGTTCCATTCATAGCCATGCTTCGGAAATCCGTCTTGATGCCGAAAACAGCTATGGCTTTTACCATTGCAGCATCTGTATTAGGACAGGTTATCGGCTCTAGAGCAGAACGGTACCGATTGAAAGCAACAGCGGGAAAACAGTTAGGTATTGAGGAATCGTTGGTTTGCATCGGTGGTGCAAAACAGTTGGACTTTGTTGCCGTTAAAAACGGGGATTGCAGGAAAGATGTTGAATGGGATCCAGTCTCTCTGCAGGTGGCAATGGGAAGGCCATCTTCATCCGCTGAAGTGACCGCCATTACTGCATGATTGTGTGTAATTCTGGTGTGTGTTTAAACTAAAGTTTAACGTTGTGGATCGTATTCTGTATTTATTTTTCTCGTGTTCCTTTGTGGAACCAGACACCATGCTTTGTTTTGGATAAAAAAAATGCAGGTAATAAAAGATGCTGAAAGACATTCGGTGGAACTGTAATGTGTTCCATTTTTAGTTTAAATTAAAAAAAAAACTAAATCGACCATTCGTTTAAGATATTTCTCTGTTGTGAGATTAGTTGTTTTTCTTTTGAATTTTACAAAACAATCCCGTCAAAAACTGATTTATGTATTAATTTTAATTATTTGGTTATATCAATTGTGTTAAAAGAAAATTAAAGACGATGAAATCGATTTGATTGAAAAACCAAATGCTCACCAAGTTGAAATGTAACCTTTCAACGTAGAAGATAACGAAATTAAGAACTGTTTAATTTTGTTCTTTGTTTTTAAGATACAAAACTATTAAACAAACAAACGTCGTGGCCATTTCACATATAAAAAAAAAACACGAACGGATTGATTATTTTATTGGAAAATTCGACCATTCATTTCTGATAGTTGACTTTATCTTTTCAAACTTTATTCGACGGAAGGCGGAGCCAATCAAACGGTGGACAATCGGCGCCATGCAACCACTGCAGCATACAAACAACCCGTTTCCGCGATCAATGGCGTTGACACCGCTTCCGCTACTCAAAGGTAGGGAGAAAACTTTTTATATATATTGTGTTCATTTTAATGGAGTAAATGTTATGTTTTCTACTGCTATTGATAGTTTTTTTGTTTTTGTTTTGCAGGCTTCAAAAGGAGCTGATGGATCTCATGGTATGTGAATCGTTTCTACTGTTTTACGTTCAAAATGATATATATATGGTATTATGCTGATGTGCAGATTTGTGGAGGGGATCTTGGGGTTTCAGCATTTCCGCAAGGCGAAAGCGTTTTTACATGGATCGGCACGGTCGAGGGACGAAAAGGAACCATGTATGAGGGTTTGTCGTACAAGGTTTCCTTGCATTTCACGTCGGACTATCCTTTCAAGCCACCTGAAGTGAAGTTTGAGACCATTTGCTTTCATCCCAATGTGAATCAGTTTGGTAATATCTGCCTTGACATTCTTCTGGTATGAATCCCACTTTGTATACACGGCTTTTGCTTACCTTGCATTCTAAGTTACTCAGAAATTCTTCGTTTTATAGGATAAGTGGTCTTCTGCTTATGATTGTAGGACCATTCTTTTTTCAGTTCAAAGTCTACTGGGAGGTATGAATATGATTGCTTTTTCCCTACTCGATTCATTCCGGGTGTGTTGGATATCCGACATGTTTATGTCACAATGTTCGCTTGTTTTTGAAGCTTTTCCTATACCGTGTGTGTCGTAACCGGTTTTCGTCCGGGCACGAAATATTAAATTTTGGCGGGGAAATTAATGTTAATAAATAATTTTGAAAAATAATTTGTGAGTCGCCATCGGCCTTTTTGAGTCAGGTAGGTCGAATACCTAAAAATTATCTTTTAAAAGAGTTTTTAAGAAAACAATATTTAAAAGATGAACTGATCTGCGTTTTATAACCAAAAATTCGTTCTTTTTAATAATAAAAGGGATTCGTGGTCGGTTACGTTTAGGGAAGGATTAGCACCCCTACAACGCCCAAAATTGGTACTTTTTAATAATAAATTATCTCTAGTATTAAAAATTTAAAAATTCAAAAATATATTTAATTTATAATTCTATTATTTCAAAATTATATAAAAAAATATTTTTTATTTAAAAATATCTGAAAAGAACTTCTAGGTGCCTTAAGACAGCTCTTTTTCTTTGATATTGATAAATATTAATTTAAATAATATTGTTTAATTTTAAAATATCAGAATAGGACATCCAGTTGTATTAAGACTGTCCTTTTCTTCGATATTAAAAATAAATATTTAAAAGTTAATATTTATTATATATATATTTATGAATATATATCAAAATATTTAACAATATAATAAAAGAATAATTCTATTAAAACAAATATATTTAAAAACAATAAAATAAATTAAAACATATAAAATAAATGACTAAATTGCAGTAAAAATAAAATTAAAAAAATCTAATTCATAATTAATCAAAACTATAGGGATTAAAATATTATTTAAAATTAAAGGATTAAATATGTATTTATTCTAAATATATTATTTAATAGAAAGGACTAAAATAAATAAATCCAAAATTAAAGAACCAAATTATAAAGATCTAAAATTAGGTTCAGTGACTAAAATATAAAGTTTACAAATTTAGAGGACTGCGGAAAGGATTTAACCTTTCTATAATTACGCACAGGTCCTCCCTTAAACGACGCCGTTTAAGAGAGGGTATAAATACCCTAGGTTGGCTGGCCCTTCGGGCCAGCATTTCATTTCTCCTTTCTTTCTTCTCTCTCTCAAACTGAGAGAGAGATTTCTCTCTCGCCTCTCTCTAGGTTTCCCTCAACGGAGGGAAACCGGCAGCCATAGGCCACCGTACTCCGCCGCCGGCCACCGCCGCCGGCCACCGTAACGGTGGTCGAAAATCACCAAAACACCCCCAAATTGTAGATCTAAATGCCCTAAGACCGATTCCGGTCTTTGTTTTCCCTAAAAGACTCCTAATCGGAGTAAATCTAAACAAAACCGAAGGGTTCTACCTTCTTAAACGGCGGTTTGGCAACGTTTGGCTTCCGAGGGCCACAAAGGCTTCAAGGGTAAGTCTTCTTCTTCTCTTTTCCTTTGGTTTACTGCTGTGGTTGCTATTCGTTGTTTGTTGTATCCTCTGTTTTTTTTTTTGTTGTTGGCTGTCTCGGTTCTTCCTCTCTTCTTTCTTTGCTTTGCAGGTTGGGTGATGGCTTTATAGCCATCACCGGTGTGGTCATCGGACCGGTCCGAAGGGTAAAGTTCAGTGAGTCACCGGAACATAGGTGGTGACTCACTCTATGGTTGGAACGTGGACGGCGCTCCTTGCTTCCTCTGGATGTTTCTGTTGAAGCGTGGCAACAGTGGATGGACGGGTCAGAGAGGCGGCCGGCGTCGGCAGTGGGCCATTGGACCACTTGGCAGTGAGGCGGCAGTGTGTGGCTAGGGTTTAGAAACCCTAGCTGAAACCTTACTAATCGTTTAGGGTTTCTGGTTGGCTGGACCGGTTCCGGTTGGTTTGTAACTGGACCGGTCCAGTTGTAATTATTTATTAAATAATAATAATAAATACTAATAATAATAATAATAATAATAATAATAATAATGCTAATAATAATAATAATACTGATAATAATAATAATAATAATATTAATAATAATAATAATAATAATAATATTAATAATAATAATAATAATAATATTAATAATAATAATAATAATAATAATAATATTAATAATAATAATAATAATGATAATAATAATCATAATATTAATAATAATAATAATAATAATAATATGGATAAAAAATAGTATCTTCAGCTGCCCCTCTTTGCTCATTCTTGTGTTAACAAGAATAGGGCAAAGATGAAAAGATAATAAAATTTTTTATCCATTTGACTTTACTTTGATCATTATGGAGATATTGAATAAATTCTTCTTTTTCTCTAAATAAGTTCTTCTTATTACGAACTTTCTGCTGGGGATGATGATGACCTCCTTTTTGTGATAGAGTCATTCAAAAGGTTGAATAAGCTCTTGATGAGTTCTTCTCATTATGAACTTTTTCTTCCTTCTTCAAATGAGTTCTTCTCATTATGAACTTTACCTGGTAATGTTGATCCATCAAATGATGAATTCACGCAAAAGGTTGAACAAATTCTTCTCATTATGAACTTCTTCTTCCTTCTTCAGATGAGTTCTTCTCATTATGAACTTTCTCGGGAAAAGATGATCCATCAAATGATGAATTCAAGCAAAAGGTTGAACAAGTTCTTCTCATTATGAACTTCTTCTTCTTTCTTCAGATGAGTTCTTCTCATTATGAACTTTCTCTAGAAAAGAATGATTCATCAAGTGATGAATTCAAGCAAAAGGTTGAACAAGTTCTTCTCATTATGAACTTCTTCTTCCTTCTTCAGATGAGTTCTTCTCATTATGAACTTTCTCTGGAAAAGAATGATCCATCAAGTGATGAATTCAAGCAAAAGGTTGAACAAGTTCTTCTCATTATGAACTTCTTCTTCCTTCTTCAGATGAGTTCTTCTCATTATGAACTTTCTCTGGAAAAGAATGATCCATCAAGTGATGAATTCAAGCAAAAGGTTGAACAAGTTCTTCTCATTATGAACTTCTTCTTCCTTCTTCAGATGAGTTCTTCTCATTATGAACTTTCTCTGGAAAAGAATGATCCATCAAGTGATGAATTCAAGCAAAAGGTTGAACAAGTTCTTCTCATTATGAACTTCTTCTTCCTTCTTCAGATGAGTTCTTCTCATTATGAACTTTCTCTGGAAAAGAATGATCCATCAAGTGATGAATTCAAGCAAAAGGTTGAACAAGTTCTTCTCATTATGAACTTCTTCTTCCTTCTTCAGATGAGTTCTTCTCATTATGAACTTTCTCTGGAAAAGATGATCCATCAATTTGATGAATCCAAATCTTTGCTAAAATTTTTGAAATTCCTGTTAACAATTCGACAAGAATAAAAATGAATGAAAATGCATCTATTTTTGTAAAACACCTAAAATATGATGCATGAATGTTAAGTTATTTGATTTCAGATTGGTGAACTGAGTATTTCTTCAGTTGTAGAAACCCAATAAATCTTTCTTCTTCAAATCATAGAATCTATCCTCTTTGACAAATGTAGAGGTAGATATAATGTCACAAAAATTTCTTGAGAATAAAACTCAATTGTATAGGCTCTTGAAAAGCTTGCATTCAGGCAACATGTTGATTCTGATAACAGCTCATCTGATTATGAAGTGGCCTTTTAAGATGATTTCACAGATATCGATAATTCTTTTAATACCAAGAAATCTTGAATTCTGATTCTGATGAAGAAAATAAACTGTTATACTTGACAAAAATGGGATTCTCAAGTGCTGAAACTTCAATATCCATGTAGAAATGTGGTCCTGATTCATCAATTATAAAATTGATAAATTTTATATGTGCTGCTCAAATGACTAAGGCTGCTGATGCACTTCTTCGGATCAAATAACTCAAAGAACACTTTCAGAAGATGCTATTGGCAAATTCATCTTCCAAATTAAATGCTTGATTCTGTCCAATCAGATCAGATAACTCAAAGAACACTTCCAGAAGATGCTATGTTCTTCTAAACAGATCAGATAACTCAAAGAACACTTCCAGAAGATGCTATGTTCTGTCCAACCAGATCAGATAACTCAAAGAACACTTCCAGAAGATGCTATGTTCTTCTAACCAGATCAGATAACTCAAAGAACACTTCCAGAAGATGCTATGTTCTTCTAAACAGATCAGATAACTCAAAGAACACTTCCAGAAGATGCTATGTTCTGTCCAACCAGATCAGATAACTCAAAGAACACTTCCAGAAGATGCTATGTTCTTCTAACCAGATCAGATAACTCAAAGAACACTTCCAGAAGATGCTATGTTCTGTCCAACCAGATCAGATAACTCAAAGAACACTTCCAGAAGATGCTATGTTCTTCTAACCAGATCAGATAACTCAAAGAACACTTCCAGAAGATGCTATGTTCTTCTAAACAGATCAGATAACTCAAAGAACACTTCCAGAAGATGCTATGTTCTTCTAACCAGATCAGATAACTCAAAGAACACTTCCAGAAGATGCTATGTTCTTCTAAACAGATCAGATAACTCAAAGAACACTTCCAGAAGATGCTATGTTCTGTCCAACCAGATCAGATAACTCAAAGAACACTTCCAGAAGATGCTATGTTCTGTCCAACCAGATCAGATAACTCAAAGAACACTTCCAGAAGATGCTATGTTCTTCTAACCAGATCAGATAACTCAAAGAACACTTCCAGAAGATGCTATGTTCTTCTAAACAGATCAGATAACTCAAAGAACACTTCCAGAAGATGCTATGTTCTTCTAACCAGATCAGATAACTCAAAGAACACTTCCAGAAGATGTTATTGAGCACATATAAAAGGTTGAATTGTTTATAAACATGTTCAGGAAGTGCCGAATTGACAGAAAGGATCTGTAAGGCTTTTGAAGCCTATGACAATGAGCCACCTTCGAGTGTCCAGAAGTATGTTCTTGATGAGTGCTGAAAATGGAATCTAGTATGGGTTGGAAGGAATAAAG